GGGACATGCTTCAGGGGCATACGCATGAGCAAGCTCCATCCCATCATATTGCCATCTCGAAGGAGTCTGGCTTGCCTTTAAATGCTAGAGAACACATGGGATCCCAAGACACAATATCCCAGGTCTCAACAAAAGCTCGGTATGGTGTGAGCACTTATGTGATGGAAACTGAAACGATCGCCAGTTGGAGTCAAACGCTGCATTCCAGCTCGTGGATGCCAAATGTTTAACACAGACTGAAGTAAAATCCCCCTCTCAAACAGAGCAGAAGATAACATGAAATATTCAGAAAGGAAAAGGCAACCGTACAAACAAATTCTCATCTGGAATTAGGAGATTTTATCTTTCACAGTTAAGTTTGTTTCTGAGAAACATTTTTAAAGCTTACCCATTTCACTCAACTTTTTGATCATTTGCAAATCCCCAAAATGTCAAAGAAATGACAATTATTTGCCCAGTACTGCATGGAAAAGAACAAAGCTAACAATAAGAAAGGCTCGTATTCAGATCACACCTTTGTCATACGCCTTTTTTCCTCCAAGATACTGAACACATTGCTGCCCAGAGATGGATATCAGTTAAAGTGTCCTATTAATCAGGGTTTCACAAATCACACAGATCCCATGGCAGCATTCAGATGTGTTCCAGTGAATGGAGAAATGGTTTCAGGGTCACTCAAAGCATATAACCAAAGAAAGAGCTAGAGGCAGGCAGAAACAAATGAAAGAAAATAAGGAAGCAAAGAAACAAAAAAAAAGAAAATAAGGAAAATAAGTTGTTTGGAAAAGTTTTAAGATCAGTAGTTTTAACTACTAGAATCAGTGTGCAAATGATTAAACTTGCAACAAGTAGACACCTTGTCCCTAAAACCACATCCTGATTAATAACCAGTTGTGCTTAGTGGTACAAACCAGACACTGTGGCACAGCAATGACTGAAGTGCCTGAAATACCTCTACATAGTCCAAAATAAGTAAGTCACAGATTTTCATAGGTGAAACAGATTTCAACAGGTTTGCAAGCCCAATCCACAGTCTTAGAGCAGGTCCAACTCCTCTTCAGCCATCCCTGACAGATAGTTGCATAACCTGGTTTGTGCAGTCCAAGGACAGAGACTTCACAGCTCACCAGGCAACCCCCTCCAGTGTTCCTCTGTCCTGGACATTGGGAATCCTTTTCCTTTTAGCTAACAAGAATGTCTATGTTGTGATTTACACACACTCCTGTCCCACTCATGAAGGATGGGGGTTGGAGGGTGGAACTCTTTCTTTCACAGAAAACTTCTTCATATTTGAAGATTCATAAACCTCATCTAATTTTTTCCATTTTTAATGTAAAGACTCTCAAAGACCTTGTGTTTCAGGCTTAAGATAATTTTAATTCTTCTTTTCTGGACTCTCCTCAACTGGTCTCTCCTGAAATGCAATGCTCAAAATTGGATGTAAAGAAAAAAACAAGTGTATCTTGTTATATTAAAGCTCCGTGTAACCCACCACTCTCTCCAATAGTTATCAATAGCAAATAGGTGAGGAATAAGTTTCAGACTAGACAAATACATTAAAAACCCTCACCAGAAGATACAGCTTCCTGAACGCCAGTAGTTTGAAGCTGTAAACTAAAGCCATAGCTGAAGACTCTCCTGACGAGAGAATATTTTTTCATTATTTATTGCTTAACAATGAATTTTTTCTTCATTCATTTGTCCTCATTTGTCATTGTCTTCATTTACTCTACATTCACCCATCATGAAAACCAAGGAGCATCCGAAGAACAATAAAATATGTTTCTTCCTGCTGCAGTGTGGTCGTTCTCTCCTCTTCTAGTGCAAGGAGCCCTAGCCTAAGTTTTCTTGCAGAGAAACCCTTCCACAACTTGAGTCAACATCACTTCCCCTCCATGTGACCTTTTAGCTCAAGCACAGGTTTTTGGGGTTTGGGGTTTTTTTGTTTTGGGACTGGGACCAGAACTGCATATGACTTTCCAAAAATGGATGGGAATATTATACGTTTTGCTTTCTTCTCCTTTCCTAACAATTCTTAGGATTCGGTTTATTATTTAGGACCACACAACTACAGTTATAACCCCAAGAGCTCATTCACATGCCATGACTGTCAGGTCAGAAAAAACACATCTAAAATTATGATTCTCCCTTCAGATGCATTTTGTTAGATTTACCTCCACCCAATTTTATCTGACATTTTACCATTTCACGACTCAGTGCAAGGGCCCTCAACGATCCTTTGCTGTTGTCCTTCACATGTGTGCTCAAGGATGTAGTCACATCTCAGCGCAGGCTCCTCACTCTCCACCTCCCTGCCTGGAGCAGTCACACACACACTGAGCAGTAGTGTTCGTGCAGCTCCACCGGTGACTGCCTCCGCAAACCGACCGCAGCCGCCTCCTCTCCAGTTCCTGCGCTCCTGTTTGCTCAAGGGTAAGGGGAAAGACAGCCACGTGGACAGTTTATTTTTGCTGAGACTCTTTTCAGGGACTTTATCAAGTGCCATTTGTAAATGCAATTAAACGATGTCAATCCAGCCTCCCTTGCCCACACACTCACTGGGCCTTTCAAAAAGCTCCAGCAGATTTTAGATTCATGATTGCTCCTGCAAAAACCGTGCTGTCCTTCCCCAGTAAATCGTGTTTCATCATGTGCCCTCAATGCTGTTCTGAAGAACAGTTTCTACTCAGTTGCCTGGCACAGACATCAGGCCTACTGCTACCAACAGACATAATTACTCTCTGGATTATTACGTTTTTTGTGAAGTACAGGGCACAAAAACTATACTAAACCGTTCTGCCCTCAGCCAGGCACGCTTGTGAGAGCCAAGATAATTTGTGGATGTCTCAGTATCGCAAGATACAAAGTTAGAGATAATGACCACTTTAGCTACCGCTGTTCCTTCTCTTTGTTTCTCTAAAAATATAATATAGGAGGAAAGATTTGATAAGCTTATTTCTCCAGGGAAATGACTGAAGGGGGCAGAAACATACAATTGATAGAGGAGCCTGCATTCAGCAAACATCCTGACTGTGGGGAAAAAAGAAAGGCTACAGGCAGAAAGCATCACATAACAGCAACACTATTTGAAGGAAGGGTTGACATAAAGAGGATGGATGGAGAGTCATCTGACCCTCAGCATTTCAAAAAAACGCTGTCGTGTAGCATTACAAAACAATTCCGTTCCAGGGCATGTAGAAGAGGAGAAACTTGTGACAAACCATCCTTTCAACTACACTAAGATGCACTCCATTTGTTTCCCACAGCCATAAACTCGTATGATATTCACTGAATCTCAGAAACACTGGAACTTGACCAACTGTCATTCAAATTCAGTCAGTGCATCTGTTTCAAAGTACAATGAAGAATTCATTGGTTAATCTTTTTGAACTTAATTTCCAAATTTAAGCATAAAAACATTCCAGTGTGGTTATTATATAATATTTAACAGTGTATATATATTGTTATATAGAAGAGGAGTCAGAGCATATCTTGATTTGAAAATCAGGCATTGGAAACTTTATTTTTAGAATTCAAGGTCTGCGTTGTCCTGCAAGAGTCATATCCATTTTGCCATAAAAGCAGCCAAATCTGATGACACCAGAGACCTGCCTAGTCCAGTATGCCAGCCCTGACAGCAATCAACAGCAAGTGCCTAAAGAAGACTGTAAGACAAAGGCAAATGTATGGAGGTACTTTCTCAGAATCTTCCCCCAGCCTGCAATGATTTGTACTTCTGCAACTTCCCAAGTTTGTACATCACATCTGACAGTCTTTGATGGATTTCATCATCCAAGAACGTGTCCAACAGATTGAGAATCCATGTACACTGCTTATATCCCCAGTGCCCCGTGGGAAGAAGTTCCATACTCTGTGTGAAGCAGCAGCCCCTTGTGCCTGTCCCCATCCAACTGATCCTAACTTTTCCTTACCCTTACAGTGGAAGAGAGTGATTAGCTCTCCACACACTTTTTCCATGCCAGACCCTTTTGAACTCTTGAGCAAATACCTTTCAATCTGACAACCTGCCACTATTCATTTTATCAACTGATCTATAATCTTGTCTATCAACACTCCAATCTAATAAATTTTTTAAAATGCAAACAACCCCCCCTCCTGTGTTAACACAGACACAAAATAGGGATACAGCATTTTTGTTACTGCTTTATCTCCTGTTTCTTTCACTGTTTCTCCATCCAGAGGTTTCATAGATTCTCTGGTATCCTTCTTTACTCTTGATGCCTGAAAAAAAATACTAGTTTTTATGCCTACATCTTCATCCTATTTTCTCCTTGTGCCAGCATGTTAACATTCAGATTTACCTTCTACATCTACATTAACAGCTCCTATATTTATACTCCACCACCCGTTCTGGGTGCTTCCCTGTGTCTCCCCATCCCTATGTCAGCGAATACCATGTATACTTCCTTCATATCACCTGCTTTCCTCCACAGCCAGCCTCCCACAGCCAGTCTGTTCTTCCACAAAATCTTGTGCTTAGTCCCTTCTCTCACTTCACAGGTTTCAAACCCTTCTTATTCCTTCCCTCATTAGACATTTCAAAGACTACTAACTCAAGAAAAGATGATAAGCTCTGGCCTCTCCCACCCTCCTTTCGCTGTGAATACCTATCTTTATTTTTGTCACTATAACCATTACCGATGCTTTCAACCAGCTGCGTCTTTCCCTCAGGGGGCTGCCATGATTTCCTCCTCTCCTCTGCAACCCCTATCTTTTGATGCCTTTCTTTGGAAAAGAACACTTACTTTGTTTCAGCATGCTGCCTCTCTGGGACAGATGCCTACACTGTGTCTGAAAGAGCACCTGGCATGCTGTGGGCATAAACAGACAAGCAACTGTAGATCTGACATCAAGATTGCAGCAAGGTTGACACAGAGCAGCAACAGGGAGTCTGTCCTAGGATGGATCATAGCAAGACAGCTGAAAAATACAGGATCTTAAAAGTCACTAATGATCAAGAATGCCACCCAAAGCCTTACCTTCTCACACCATGCAGCCTTTCGGTGAGTTACAAGTTTGTGCAGTCGGTCACGGAGAGTCATTAGATCTCTGGATAATCTGTCAATTTGCGCAGTCAGACCATCAGCCCAGGGGCAGCTCGAGGTCGCCTTTGGCAGCCCACGTTGCTCTTCATGAGCATCCTGCGACTCGCTCGTACTTCCCTCTTCAGCCATATTATCTAACACAGTTTCCTGAAGGAAAAAACAATAAAATTTACTTTTAAGCAGGACCTAAAATGGTTTCCCACACATACATCTTCCTGGTAATTCATAACTAGGAATTCACTGCTGCTATCTCAGTATACAGTTGCTCTACAATTTCAGAGTTATTTTAAGAGATAACCTCCTCAGTTCACTATAACATGTTTCTAAATTAACAGAAAACTTCTGTTGCTGAGCTTATTTTAGAAAACACTGCATACTGTGAGCTACTCTTGACTGCACTAAACCATAAAGTAACACTCACGGGACAGAGATCATCAGTATGGCAGAAGCTTTAGATATGCCCCTCACCCTCAGGCTGAGGTTGGATGCACTTCTATGGTTTTTTGTAACAACGTGATGACCAGGATGGAGATACGTGCTTACACTCTTCAGGAGAGCCCCATCTGCTACGTGGCACAGTGCATTGTAACACCTACAGGACCACTTCTGCCATGTAAAACTCAAAAAATTGAGGAACCCCAAGAGATCCTTGCTCCAGGCTGGTCAGGAGCTCTGTCAGCTCTGCTTGACCACCATTAGCTCTATAAATAATTCTGCAACTGCCTTCCAAGATAGCAATTGTTATTTGAAATACTCAAAAAAAGACCAAATAACTTCAGAATACTTGAAATGCAGGTACCTGCACACTGTGGTGCACAGATTATGTAGAAATACACAGTTTTCAAGTCAGGGTAGCATAGCATAACTAAAGGACTCAGGCCTCCTCACACAGAGTATTAAATATTTATTTTCATATTGTTATCAAAAAGACATTAAATAGGAGAAGTCGTAATCTCTTTTAAGGACATAATTTGCATTCAAAATTATCTTTAGAAATTGGAGGAGTAATTTGAAAACAAGAGGAAATTCAGCAGTTGAACAGCATGGTCTACACATAAGCAAGGAAAAACCAAGTGCATAATTACTGGCTCAGCAGCAACACTGCTGGAAGAGATGTCAGAAAACCAGAAGTCATCAATGTCATACTGTTCAAGTCAAGTACCATTTCACAAAGTATAAACACAAGTCTCTGTGATAGAAGAGCAGTGACTGTAACAGAAACAGACAGGTGAGACACCTGAAGTTAAACATAGACAAATGAGAAGAAGAGTTTCACATGAAAGCAGTTTGAAGGAATGGCCTACAAGGAGACATTAGGAGAACCAATTTTGTTCAGCCTAGAAAAAGGCAGTGACATGCTAACAGCCTTCACTTATATAAAATATTGCTATGAAGAGAATGGGAATATTCCTCCTTACCCCCTTCTCTCTCTTCTCTGCAGGTAGCTTAAAAACCTCTGGCTTAATTCACAGCAAGAGATTTTTAGAATTATACAAGACAAAACTTTGTAAGAGAATAGCAAAAGACACCGCTCAAAACCTCTCTCAGCAAGCTTCACCACTGCAAAGTGGCACAAAGCAGCACTGAGGCCAGCAGCTCATGCTGACCAAAAGCCCAGCTCAAGACAACACAGGCATCTTGTGGGCATCAACACGCTAACGAACTGCATGGAAATAAAACAAAGCTTTTTGGGTTTTGTTGTGTGTGTTTGTTTTTATTTTGAGATTCATTAAATGACAGAATTTTAAAATTACATTGCTGCAGTCACTCCGGTTGCCGTAGTTATGTCACGCTCTGTCTTGCTCCTGCCCATAACCCTCAGGAAGACCTGGCAGCAGCTATGCAAGAATCATCCCATCCATCAGGTCAGCAGTGCAAAACATGGGGTAAGCGGAAAGAGAACTACTGTATCCTCAAAGCAAATCTCATTCCCACAGTAAATCTCAGATTCCCATTCCCTACAGCATCAGACAACAACCACCATCATCAGTAAAACAAAAGAAAAAGGTAAATTCACTATCCAGCCTGTTGAACAATTTAAAAAGATGTACTGGTCAGTTTTTTTGCAAGTATTTGTTTGAGACTTGACTCCGGGAAGCACACGCACACCAACACTCACAACACTCCCCACACTGTTCAACACGTCAGAAGCAAATGTTCTGGTGGAAACACTGAAATGCCCTAACACTTGCCGTTGTATTTTGCCTGTTTGGAGCCAGGCTTATGCTAGTGTTGCTAAAAAAACCACGAGATGTTAGACGGGTAAAGCAAAACCCATTATGTAACTAATGGCAATCTGAATGACTCTGCATTGCAAGTACACTTCAAGACAGGTGAGGTCATTTTACACTCTTGTGCCTTGCTTTTAGTGGAGAACAAGGCATACAGACAATTAACAGTCAGCTCACTGATTCTCAAAACTTGGTAAACTCATATAGCTAATGCAGTGCTCTGAAGAATTATTTTCAGCAACCGTGAATGGGCAAAAGTTGTAGAGAGAAGTGAGATGGATGGTACTGTTTACACTCACTTGAGAATCGTAAGATGCACAGAGAAAGGTTTATTGATTTTCTTATGATCATTCAACACAGTTCAAGGGGAAATCAACAATTTCAACACATTATTTGCCTAGGAAAAAATGAAGTTGTTTTCAATATCAGTTGCTTGCAAATTTAGTTGTTTTCAAGTCTGCAATAAAGCTGAGAAGCTCTCTTCTGAAAAGCTATTTAATTTTTTAAAAAAATGTACACTCACTACATTTAAAAAAACAGAGATGAAGATCAGACATTTTCATTTCTGTTAACTGTATGAGATTCTGCCACTCTGCCTTACAATTCCTCAGCTTGAGTCTTACTCAAGAAAGCGGAGGGATGAAGAAGAACTAAGAAAACACTCCTTACTTTACCAAAAGCATTTTTCCCTTCTTCTCAAGTACTGCTGAACAGTTGTTCTGCAGAATTTATTTTTTGGGGAAGGGGCCTTTGGAAGTAGACAGCTATTTGTTAGAGGCAAAAAAGCTACATCCTTTGAAATTAGTTTGATTCATTACCATCCACTGCCAATAAACTGGTTCCAGTTGCTTCCATTCCAGAAAGGCTTCTAGTTGCATGGTTTCAGACTCCAGAAGCTGTAACAGCTAGAGGAAAGGAGACAAAGGAAAGAAAATCAGATACCATTGGTCACTTGTGAACTAAATGACATGTGTGTTTGGTCTAAATTACAAAATGTGTCAGTGGCACATGGGACAACACTGGGTTAACTTTACAAGAACACTGTAAAACCAGCTGCAGAAGCATGATGTGAAAAACTCTTCCCAGCATCACCGATTTATTCCTCACCCCAAATGTACAAACACCATCAGCTTTTACATACATAAATCTGAGTTTCCATATTGTTTTGAGGGACCAAAGAGCCATAATTCTGATATATTAAGGCATGACCATCTTCAAATCATCTACGCTTCTTGACTATGAAAATAAGCTATGTTTCTCCATGAGTAGTTTTTAAACCTATCCATTAACTCACATTTATGAAGGCTGTAAGGCCTAAACATCATCTTCTCATCCACATACAGCCTTCTCTTAGCTACAACTTACACAGCTGATCTTTGACTGGGTCTCCTCATGACCCAGTAATGACCCCACCTGCGATACCTCCACTGGTAGCTCCAACGCATTTCTCTCATGCTGCTCCCACATCTGGAAACCCAAAACTCCAGGATCTCCACTCCTCTCTGCCTCCTCCCTCAAAACCTTTCATTCCTATTCAGATCAGCAATTTCGGTACTAGCCGTATATTTGAAATGAACAATTTTAACACCCATCTGACACCAAAGGCAACTTTCTAAGATGAGACACAAACAGTATATGGTCTCAAAGAGAACGATAAGGACCAGATCAGTACCAGTTAAACCCGCTTTATATAGACAACTATCTTCTGCTAGCTTTGTTGGGCTCAGTTACTTCCTACATAACATATAATATAAGTAACTGCAAAGCATGAGTTGACTTTGCAATTTTATTTTGCGATATAACTTGAAGATAAAGAAATCAAAGAAAAGGAATGCACACTGCAAGAGTAACTGCTGGAAATTATGAGCAGTTTGCTCCTAAACACTGCTGGATCCAAAATACAATTATTACACATTTGTTCGCACAACTGACACTTGGCATCACACCTAATGACTGCTAGTTTCAAGTTCAGCTGGTATATGAAAGGTTGAAGAAGGAGTTTCTATCTCCTTTCTTTTCTCCCTTTTTTGTAGGTATATCTACAGCACAAATGGCTTACATTATGTGATGCGATGCTGGCAATAAAAACCAGCTAAAAAGTTTATTAAATATTCAGGCAACAGCTAAGTTACATGATTTTAAAGTAGCTTTGTAATGTGGTCATGAGCTGTGTGTGATTGCAGTATGAACACGTATTGTGACAGCTAAAGAGGCTCAAGGTTGGAATGGGAAGCTTTTCATTTTAAGCTCTAAAAAAAAAGCCAAATCAACCAACCAAAACAACTTAGTAAAAACATAGTCATCGTGTTTAATTTTAGTCTCACTGGAGATGCTCCTCAATGTTAAAAAACCCTATGCCACTTGTGTACACACCACAACTGAAAGGATATGGTTCTGAAACTTCACCGAACTTGTAAGTGATCTCTTGGAGTTAACTGATCTTAGCAACAACCAAAGCTTTCTGAGTAGTCTCCTAATCTCAACCCGTTAGGATCTTTTGCATTTAGGGGATTTTTTTGTTACCCTTTCAAATTTTTTTTTTATTGCACCATTAGTTACACAAAACTTGAACAGCTCATTTGAAGGCATTTATCTAGCTCACCTACTTATGGCATCCTCATCTATCCCTAAGGAATTACCACTCTCAGAAATATCTGACCAGCAACCGTGTGCTGGACTGTTTCAGCCCTAAGTCAGTAACGGGATTACTACACCACTTATCCTAGGAGGATGGTTGTCAGCGTAGCTGGAATCACCGTGACAGCGCAAGGCAGCCTGCAATAGCCAACATTGCAGTTTCTGCCCCAAGGGATGGAAGGTGCTGTTCTAGGATGCCAATATGCTCTGCCATCCTTTATATGGGCCTTGCAAGACTGACATTATTGCAGCACGGAGAATAAAGCAAAACATAATAAAAACTAATGTACTACAAATATCCTTGAGATAACTTAGCAAAAAACCAAAAACCAATAAACCTTTAAGGCAGGGATGGGACAACGGCTTTTATGTCTGCACACCATGAATTTGGTCACAAAGACAGCATCACAGAATCACATATTAGGAGTTGGAAGGGACCTTGAAAGCTCATCCAGTCCAACCCCCTGCCAGAGCAGGATCACCGGGGTCTAGGTCACACAGAAACGTGTCCAGGCGGGTTTTGAATGTCTCCAGAGAAGGAGACTCCACAACCTCTCTGGGCAGCCTGTTCCAGTGCTCTGGCACCCTCACAGTAAAAAAGTTTTTCCTCATGTTCAGGTTGAACCTCCTATGCTCCAGCTTGCACCCGTTGGCCCTTGTCCTATCATTGGACAATAGAGAGAGGAGCCTGGCTCCTTCCTCCTGACACTCGCCCTTTACAGATTTATAAACATTAATGAGGTCACCCCTCAGTCTCCTCTTCTCCAAGCTGAAGAGACCCAGCTCCCTCAGCTGCTCCTCATAAGGGAGATGCTCCACTCCCTCCATCATCTTTGTGGCTTTGCACTGGACTCTCTCAAGCAATTCCCTGTCCTTCTTGTAAGGCCTTAAACCCAATTATGATTTACTTCTGGTAACATAAATTGTCTAACTTTTTTTTTCAATGACACAGGTGACAGGCATTCACTCAGACACACCTGCACTTAGCAAATGAACAGCTATCTGTTATCAGCCAGCTTCTTTTGCCCAAGCTCATCCTTTACTCAAGCTTCTCGTGAGCTTTTATTGCTCTTTAACTAAACTATGCATTTTGTAACTTTGAGGTCAATGGCATACATTTTTTTAAGGTCACTCACTGCAGTCATGCCACCGCTGGTATTTCAGCTGTATAGAAATTGTGGAAACCTAAGCCCAAACTGCACCTCTGCATTTTCCCTAAGTACACTACCTTTTCTTATTCATTTAGTATCGCCAACAGTTCACACAGCTGCCTTTGTATGTGATGAGGAGTTCCACTTCTGCTGCTACATAAATCTCTCAAAATGTAAGACAAATTCACAACCTGCAACTAAGGCTGCCTGCTCATTTTCAGTGACCTAAGGACTCAGATGTTGTCATGCCTCTTAACAAAATTTAAAGACTAACATCTGCAGAAGAGCATTCATTTCATCTCATGAACAAAGTGAAGCAGCAAGTCAAAAATGTGCCTCACATGGTATTTAAGCGATGCTTAGGGATAACATATGAAAATTGTTTTTCTCTCCACGCAAAATTAAGAACAACGAAATCCATTTCCTTCATTCTTCTGAAGGAAGTTATTGCTTTAAAATACTTACACTGAGAAAAAGTAATGACAAATTCAAATTGCTAATCTCTGTGGAGAAGCAATTCCATAATGAATGCTAAGAGCAAACACTTTGCAGTAACAACTTCTCTAAGCCACTGTAAAGAAACCATCACTGGTACAAATGACTTGCAAGCAGCAGCGTTGCTACAGAGGCTAAACTGTGCTTAACAGAGCTGTCTGAGCGCAGGCTGCCAGGAGCGGTGCAGGAGAAAGCAGACTCTAAAGAGCAAACCTCGCTTCCTCTGGCATACAGCTGTGATCTCCAAAGCCAAGCATCCTGCATCCAGCGCAGCTCATGGACCTCAGAAAACTTGGGAACTTCAGCTGCAAAAGTCCTAGGCGGCAACAGCTTCTAGGTGGATTTGGATACTCAACAAGAGGCCAAAGTTGAGTCCTCCTTGGTATTCACAAATCTAACTCGCACCAAAGTCAATATTTAAACACATCTGTAATTACTTTTTCTGCTGAGATATTAATCTTCTTTGTATTATTTACTAGCATATTGCTAAGTTCATTGATGCCTGCAGACTGTTACAGAAATCAATATTTAATAATTTGCAGCATAATGCATCCTTTTCAGGGGCTTAATTCCAGAGCGCTCCCCTCACCATCTATTTAATCTCTGATGCCCACAGATCGTAATTCAACTACCATATCATTGGCAAAAGTACTTTTAATCAAAAATTGCTCTACCTAAATATTCAGAACATCATCCTATTGTTAGACAGACACAAAAAAAAGGTCTTTCAGCAATAAACTATGTTTCATAGCTCAGAGACAAAATACTGCTGATTCATCATATCTGCACGAATGGCTGTAGATAGAAAACTTGCATTGGACTCCAGATCACTGCAAACCTCACTCCAAGTGCCAGCTCATTCAGGTATGACTTGAGGCTCAAGACAGGGTTGGAAATGGTTGGCTTAGCGTGAAAGCTTATATGGGGAAAGTATCAAGAGGCTATTTCATGCTTTTATTCATTTAATAGGAAATGGCTTTATTCAACTTGAATTTTGGTAATCTGATTACTGAATAGCTAAGAATTGCAGGAGAGTAGAAAAGCAAAGAAATTCCTTCCAAAAAAATGCAAAGAAAGGAGTAAACGCTCATAAAAAAGAAGCTATACAATTCATGTTACCAGAAGTAAATCATAACTGGGATTAAGGCCTTAGAGACCTAACCAAGCACCAGGTGAAATAAATAAATTATAACACAGCTTAATCTCTGCTACCAATACAAAACTCCTTTACTCTAAAAAAACCAAGCAAATCTTGACAAATGAGAGCCTCTCAGCAGACAGGCTGTTAGGTAGATGACATCTGGTCACATACTGCCCAAATTGTACCATAGCAGGGCTAAGTTTTGGGGCCCTCCACCAAAAAGCAGAGTAAATCTTGATGTCATAAACATCACCAGCTGGGACAAAAACCCACCACTGTAGGTGGACACACTCAGTGCTCCAAGATTCAGTTCCACACTGTGATTTCTTCAGAAGCAAAGCTGGTTTAAGACATTCCCATGCATCGCTTGAAGGCTGAAGCAAAAATAAATAGGCCTGAAAACTAGAAAGTCACGCTGCAGTAGTGTGAACTACAAGCAGCTGAAGAGCAAAAACCAACAGACCAATGAGCAGCCTCTAGC